GAAGGGCCGAGTACCTATTAGACCGAATGGCCTAATGGTTGAGGCCGAAGTGCCGAATACCTGTGAGGTCGAATGGTCGAATGCTTGAACACTCGAAGCCATGGAAGGCCGAGCAGTTGAGGCCGAAGGGCCGAATACCTATGAGGCCGAATGGCCTAATGGTTAAGGCTGAAGGACCAAATACTTGTGAGGCTGAATGGCCGAATTCCTGTGAGGCCGAACGGCCAAATACCTGTGAGGTCGAATGGCCTAATGCTTGAACACTCGAAGCCATGGAAGGCCGAGCAGTTGAGGCCGAAGGGCCGAATACCTGTTATAGTATATAGACCGATCGACCTTGTATACTAACCGTTCGGCCTAGATATCATACTATATAAGTTATAATTTTATTTGTTATGAAAAATAAATAGGATAAGAATTAGTTAAAGTATTATTCGGAAACAATAAAATCTATAGTAAATAAGTATTTGATTATAATAGTTAAAGGTGTGACTTTGAGAATTTAAATGATTGTCATGTGTAGCTAAAGGTAAGTGAAAAGGAGTAGTAGAAGAAATCCTAAAGATTAGTCGTGACTTAAGTCACCCTTCATTAATGAAGAGAGAAAAGTTGGAGGATTTATTTAAGTCTAAAATAAAGTTATAAGCAAATTATGTGTTCAATAAGGTGAGTGTTCAATAAAGTAAGCCGAGTTAGTGTTGAATGGCCAATCATGTGTCATTAGTTGTGGTAGGATACTACGAGTGTATGAGAGAAGGAAGACAAGGGGGAGGTTAGGCTGAACGGTTGGTGGGGAAGAGAGGTAAGGCCGAACGGTTGTTTGTTAAAGACCGAACGGTTGTTTCAACTGGGAGGGAGCGCGGTAATGAGATAGTATAATGCAGCACTATAAATAATCTTCGTGGATTTTCTGTTTGTTTAGGTTATTTCTTTTGGGTATAGAATGGACATTCTTGCTAGTGGAGGAAGGGAGGTTTCCTTAGGGATACTTACTTGTAATTCTGTTTTACATACTTTATAGAATTAATAAAATTCATACACATACATACTTTCATTTTTGTTGTTATAGTATTTGAGTGAGGAGAGAGCATCGATTTAGGTTTCTCGCATAAAGAAACTTAACAACTTGACTGGCCTTGTGTCTAAAAGATTTAATCACACACAATAGAATATAATGCGAGTAAATAAGCAATTGGACTACTCGGTCATTTAATAATTTTGTTCACTTTCAAAAAGCTATTAACTTTGGAGTTGGGAAAAACTTATGCCCCTACTCAACCTGTTATTATAACATGATATAATTTGTCATGACCCATTGTAGGCCTAATCGATAAGAATTTAACAATAAAATTTATGAAATATTTTAATTATCTTTTAATATATTTAATAAGATATATGATATTGATTGTGTGATATAAACACAATCCGATTAACAAAATTCATTTATTAATTTATTTATCATATGTGTTATTGTATTTTATTTTAACGGACTTAAAAAACTTATAAATACATATTATTACATACAATCATCTTATAACCTTCTTTTACTCACAAACATTCATTCATACTCTCTTAGCTACTTTAATGTTGGGGTCGAGTCTTTGCAACTAGACTTCCTTTCTTGAGGTAATTCAGAATTCGATCACACCTTATAACATATCGAAGACTATTTGATTAAATTCGAAAAAAAATAGTTTTAGTTTTAAATATATTAAATAATACATATAAATTATTAGATTTTTTTCTTAAATGTTATGTTATAACAATATATAACTGCGCATTTTTTTTAATTTTACTAAAATAATTATTTGTGAAAATTAAAATAATTATCTTAGGAGTTTTATATTTTAAGTCACAACTTTTTAAATTTAACCGTTTTAATATTTTTTTAAAGTAAAATAATTATTTATAATAAAAATATTACTTATAAAATAAATAAAAATTATCTTAAAAAATTTATAAAAATTACTTAAATTTATTTTTATAATTAAATTAAAATTTATTATTTTTGTTACGATAAAAAATAACATATCCGAACGTGGGTGGTTTCACAGAATTTATAATTAATTTCAGCTTCGGCTGGGACATAAATGAATAAAACAATATTTTTAACAACATATTTAAGTTATATTTCTTTAATTAATTCAAATAACGAATTAATATACGTAGAATCTAGTATAAACAATGTCCAACACATATTCCCCATGCATGACGTGTTTCAAAATACTTCTATAATCCAAATGTTCCAACGTAGTTTCCCGCAACCTAGGATGTAACAACACACTACTGTGCTGTGTGCATTATAGTCACAGCTCATGCCACATATTTTTACATGCAAATTNAATGCTTGAACACTCGAAGCCATGGAAGGCCGAGCAGTTGAGGCCGAAGGGCCGAATACCTGTTATAGTATATAGACCGATCGACCTTGTATACTAACCGTTCGGCCTAGATATCATACTATATAAGTTATAATTTTATTTGTTATGAAAAATAAATAGGATAAGAATTAGTTAAAGTATTATTCGGAAACAATAAAATCTATAGTAAATAAGTATTTGATTATAATAGTTAAAGGTGTGACTTTGAGAATTTAAATGATTGTCATGTGTAGCTAAAGGTAAGTGAAAAGGAGTAGTAGAAGAAATCCTAAAGATTAGTCGTGACTTAAGTCACCCTTCATTAATGAAGAGAGAAAAGTTGGAGGATTTATTTAAGTCTAAAATAAAGTTATAAGCAAATTATGTGTTCAATAAGGTGAGTGTTCAATAAAGTAAGCCGAGTTAGTGTTGAATGGCCAATCATGTGTCATTAGTTGTGGTAGGATACTACGAGTGTATGAGAGAAGGAAGACAAGGGGGAGGTTAGGCTGAACGGTTGGTGGGGAAGAGAGGTAAGGCCGAACGGTTGTTTGTTAAAGACCGAACGGTTGTTTCAACTGGGAGGGAGCGCGGTAATGAGATAGTATAATGCAGCACTATAAATAATCTTCGTGGATTTTCTGTTTGTTTAGGTTATTTCTTTTGGGTATAGAATGGACATTCTTGCTAGTGGAGGAAGGGAGGTTTCCTTAGGGATACTTACTTGTAATTCTGTTTTACATACTTTATAGAATTAATAAAATTCATACACATACATACTTTCATTTTTGTTGTTATAGTATTTGAGTGAGGAGAGAGCATCGATTTAGGTTTCTCGCATAAAGAAACTTAACAACTTGACTGGCCTTGTGTCTAAAAGATTTAATCACACACAATAGAATATAATGCGAGTAAATAAGCAATTGGACTACTCGGTCATTTAATAATTTTGTTCACTTTCAAAAAGCTATTAACTTTGGAGTTGGGAAAAACTTATGCCCCTACTCAACCTGTTATTATAACATGATATAATTTGTCATGACCCATTGTAGGCCTAATCGATAAGAATTTAACAATAAAATTTATGAAATATTTTAATTATCTTTTAATATATTTAATAAGATATATGATATTGATTGTGTGATATAAACACAATCCGATTAACAAAATTCATTTATTAATTTATTTATCATATGTGTTATTGTATTTTATTTTAACGGACTTAAAAAACTTATAAATACATATTATTACATACAATCATCTTATAACCTTCTTTTACTCACAAACATTCATTCATACTCTCTTAGCTACTTTAATGTTGGGGTCGAGTCTTTGCAACTAGACTTCCTTTCTTGAGGTAATTCAGAATTCGATCACACCTTATAACATATCGAAGACTATTTGATTAAATTCGAAAAAAAATAGTTTTAGTTTTAAATATATTAAATAATACATATAAATTATTAGATTTTTTTCTTAAATGTTATGTTATAACAATATATAACTGCGCATTTTTTTTAATTTTACTAAAATAATTATTTGTGAAAATTAAAATAATTATCTTAGGAGTTTTATATTTTAAGTCACAACTTTTTAAATTTAACCGTTTTAATATTTTTTTAAAGTAAAATAATTATTTATAATAAAAATATTACTTATAAAATAAATAAAAATTATCTTAAAAAATTTATAAAAATTACTTAAATTTATTTTTATAATTAAATTAAAATTTATTATTTTTGTTACGATAAAAAATAACATATCCGAACGTGGGTGGTTTCACAGAATTTATAATTAATTTCAGCTTCGGCTGGGACATAAATGAATAAAACAATATTTTTAACAACATATTTAAGTTATATTTCTTTAATTAATTCAAATAACGAATTAATATACGTAGAATCTAGTATAAACAATGTCCAACACATATTCCCCATGCATGACGTGTTTCAAAATACTTCTATAATCCAAATGTTCCAACGTAGTTTCCCGCAACCTAGGATGTAACAACACACTACTGTGCTGTGTGCATTATAGTCACAGCTCATGCCACATATTTTTACATGCAAATTCAAGTTCATTCCCTTAGTGTGATGGATTTTCTATTTTTGAACACCATGTGTTTCTCTTAATGCTTGTCCCTTCTGTTCAATCTCCACATAGCAGCAAAAAACTGAGTTGTTACAAGCTTAGAGGACAGCAAGGGCTACGAAGAACCATTGGCTCTGAGAGTTTCTAGGAACCTAAATTTTAGCACTTCCTCTAAATTTCGGTCCCTTCAAAAGCCACTGTGGAACAAAGCACCCTCATTCAGTTTACGCCAAAACAACAACCTCTGCCACCATTCAAAACAACAACCTCTGCCACCCTTCACCGCCGCCGCCGCAGCCACAAACCAGTTCCTAGCTCCTACCCTCTCTTTTTGTAGAGTGGTTTATTTGGAGCTTAGGAATTAACCTGTATACTCACACTTTAATATACAGTTTATTGCATAACATGAATGCATTGAGCACGTGAAGATAAATTAAGTATTTGGCTTATGGACAGAGAATTGCAGAGGCTAAACAGATATCAAGAGGGGGGAAGTTGAACTAACTTATTTGATTTCTCCAGTTTTGGTGAAGGAGCTTGATGGAGGGTATGGCAAACAGTAATGGTGATTCCAATGGGGAGAATGGTTTGTTGGCAGTGTTTGGTGGCAATGAATTTGGTGGCGGCGGCGGTGGTGAGGGTGGTGGCAAATTGGAGGAGGTGATTCTGAAGAAGGGTCCTTGGACAGCTGCAGAAGATGCTGTTCTCATAGATTATGTGACAAAACATGGTGAAGGGAATTGGAATGCAGTGCAGAGGAACACAGGGTTGAATAGGTGTGGGAAGAGTTGTAGGCTTAGGTGGGCCAACCATTTGAGGCCCAATTTGAAAAAAGGTGCATTCTCTCCTGAGGAAGAAAAGCTCATCATTGAACTCCATTCACAATTTGGCAACAAATGGGCCAGAATGGCTGCTCTGGTATGCATTTTCTTTATCTTCTTTTCTTCACAGCTTCAGAATATATATTGTATCTGCAAATGTATCTAATCACTCCAAAACTAAAGCTACAATAAAAATATTTTAAGTTCTCAATTCTTAAAGATTGACATGTTTGTCAGTGCTTGTTAACATGGTAAGTTTTAATTTTAGTCTTTTCAGAAAAAACTGTCCTAATTTTGATTGGTGTATTTTTATCATCATTTACTAATAATATATGATATGCATTTAGACATGTCTTGTTAAAGTGATCCTTGATTGAACATTTTAATGCACCATGTTCCGTCTAAAATTGCACTAATATAGTAAAGAAAACCAGATTTTGAACTCTGTTTCTTTGGTTGCTGCTGCCACACAGTTGCCTGGAAGAACAGACAATGAGATCAAGAACTATTGGAACACAAGGATCAAACGTCGCCAAAGACAAGGTCTCCCTCTCTATGCAGATGAGAATGATCACCATTGTTCCACAACACCAAATCCTTCTCCATGCTTCACACAAACAGGATCAAACCCTAATAACAATCTCACAAACTTTGAGTTCTTCAAACAAAGCCACCACCAACACTATCATCAACAACAACAACAACAACAAGAGCAACAACACTCACAACAACAACCTCTATCTCCATCTCCAACTCAACATTCCCCTCTGAGTTCCCCTTTCCATCACAGACAACCCTTCACCACTTCTTCACCTCTCACTTTCTTAGACCAGTCACCTCTTCCACTCTCCTCCTCTTCACCCTCCTCTCTCTCCTTCACCTTCCAAAGACCAGAACCACTCCTATGCACCCCTCTTCGCTTCAAACGCTACCGTGCCTCTTCAAGCTACAACCCCCTCCCCGACCTTCCTCTCACAACCCAATTCCCTCATCTTGATGCATTCAGATTCCCAGTTTCTTCAGGTTTCTCTCCATATTTTCAACCATCTTTCTTAGAATCTGACCGAGGCATTTCTTCTTCCTCCTCCTTCCAACCCAAGTTGGATCTCCCTTCAAGCCAGTTCTACAAACCACCCCAAGACCAAGACATTAAGCTTGACATTGATTTCAACGACCCTTCATTCCAAACCGGTAGCGGATTGCTGGGGGGTCTTCTCTTGGAGGCTCAGGCTTTGGCTTCGGGTCAGAACTCAAAGAAACGACCCCACTTGAGTTTAAACGAGGGAAATGATTTTTTCGATGCATGCCAAAGCTTTGAGGACTTTCCATCTAGCTCGCTTTACTGGCCTTCTTCTGCATCAGGTTGGTTTCATTTTTGTTACTATGCTTAAAGTTTTGAATATTTGATGATTGATTCCATTTGAATGATGATGCATGCAGCAGCAAAAGCAAAGGAAGAAGCACCAGACTTGAGCAAGTTCACGAATGAAGAGTTGTCATCATTGCGTACGGTGATTCCATCTTCCAACACACAGGGTCATGACTGGCTCAACAATGGCGATCCAGAAGGGTTGAATGTGCAACCCTGTGACAGTGGCATGACAGATGACAACTTTGGAGTTGATTTGAAGCCCGTGGCTTCATTGTTTCCTCTCACCAACACCACAAACCATAACGAAAACCAAGGTTGCTACCCTTGGGACAATTTGCCTGGTCTCTGCTAAGATAATTTTGGAAGCTATATATGGATATATGTTAATCAACAAGTTTCGTGTATATGCAAATGGTATCCATTAATTGTTGTTTGAAGCGTTAGATTAGTCATTCATTCTGTGTATATTACAGCAGCCTCTAACAAAGGATTTATTTTAAGTTTATTTATGAAATTCTATAATCAAGGCATATAATTTGTCTTAGTTATATGATACGTTGGGATTATAAAAAAAAAACTAACTAAAACCTGAATACTAATTAAATTAATCAAAATAATATAAATTGGCTTTAAAATAATCAACCGGTTTAGTCATTTATATTTTTATATCTTCATTTTTCTTATTATTATAATATATAGATTTATCTTTTTGACACACTTAAATATTTTATATTTATTTGACATTATTCTTACTTACTTTCTATTCTCTTATTTCTTGAAACAATACAAAAGTTTACATTTTTTTGACTATTTTACCCTTGTAACTTGTGTCAAATGAATGTAAAAGTGTGTCGTAGTATCATTACTCTTGTCTTTATTTAGTGTGTTCTGGTACTTCCGTAAGACACCTGTCACGAAGGGTGAGACCTGAACATTTGAACCCACCCATCCATTGTTTTTTTTTCTTCCTCCAATACTCATAGTTTCGACTAGGGTTGGACAAAAATAACTGATCTTTAGTGTAGTATAGTTAACTATACTATATTATACTTAAAAAAACTGATCCACTTTTACTAAAAGTTCAGTATACTATTTTATGGTTTAGTTTTTAAAAACTGAACTTATAACAGTTTCAGTTTAGTTAACTGTGGGAACTGTATCTACTCTTTTCTCTTCTCTAGTTTCTGTTCAATTGCTCCGTCTTTCTAAGAAAACGTTATTTAATAATAAAATATTAATAAAAGAAACCGTTCAAATAAAAAACTTATAATGAATTTTTAAAGACAAAATTTTTTTATCACAAATTTTTATATTTTTTCATCAATAAACATATATTAATTTTTAAATAATATTATTTTAAGTAATAAAAGTAAAATATATTTTTTTAAATTTAATTTTATTAAATGATTAAGTAATATAAATCATAAAAAAAGACTATATAAAAAAATAATACTTTAAATATATTATATTCTTTAACATATTATTAAATATGTAAAAATATGTTAAAAAAACTTTTAATGATATTAAAATGTGTGTAAGCACACACACTAAAATAACTATTTATTTTAAAAATCAACTTACTTTAAAATAAATATCAATATTATTATTTTTAAATGATAGTATTTTACATACTAAAACTAAAATATATTTTTTAACGTTAAATTTTATTAAATGAATATATAATGAAATATCATAAAAAAATAGTAATGTAGCAAAAATAATTAATATTATA